GGGTTATTGTTAACTAAAATCAAATCATTTTATTAATTAAAAATAATTTTCTTTTTGATGATTTGATTTTAGCTAGGCAACATTTATTTTCATTTAAATAAAATATTTGCTGAAATAACATTTAATAAACTATACATACACATTTTTTTTAAAAACAGACACTAATGAAAAAAAAAACACGGTACAAAATTACAAAAACTTTTTTAAAGTTTTTTTCTAAATTTAAAATGAAAACAGAAAATCTAAAAATCAAAACTCATTTAAAATATTAATAAAAACTGTAATAGTATATATTGTAATTTTATATTATCATAGAATACTTATTGTAACATTCAAAAACAGGCTTTTTCTGTGCAGAAAAAAAAAACACGGTACAAAATTACAAAAACTTTTTAAAAGTTTTTTTCTAAATTTAAAATGAAAACAGAAAATCTAAAAATCAAAACTCATTCAAAATATTAATAAAAACTGTAATAGTATATATTGTAATTTTATATTATAATAGAATACTTATTGTAACATTCAAAAACAGGCTTTTTCTGTGCAGCTGCTTTGAATCAATATGCATTGTTAAAAGCGCTCTACAAATAAACTGAATTGAATAATGTCTCTATGTGTTTGTCTGTCTCTCGGTGCAGTCGTTTCACTGTAAAACTGTCAGGAAGATGCCGTTTAACCGCATGGACCCGAGCTGTACGGTGGGTTTCTACGCCGCCAGCAGGGGGGATTTCCAGACTCTGTGCTCAGACGTCACTGAGGTTAGTAGCTTATTGGCCTTTCAGATTATACGTCCGAAATCCTGCGATATCAGTATCTCTGTTTTTGATTTGATGGACAGGCTCTGACATCATCGGAGGAAAAGTACCCCATCTTCACATTTGTGGAGGGTCATAATAACGCAGAGAGAAGCTGTACGTCAGACTCAGTCACTCATATAAAGACCAAAGACAGACTGGGCCGAATCAAAAAGAAAAGCTGTTTGGATGAATTTGTGCTCCTGTGATGCACAAACTTTATTTCCTGTTTGGATTCTCCAGTACTTCCTCCAATTTGAGTCATGTGATTAAGATTGCCACACTCACTGGCATGTCAAGGAGAGCTGGACTATTTTGTGTGTCCAAAACGTGGGTGAAAGTGGGTGCTTTTGCTCTTTGAGTATTTAAACATGAGTTTTTACAGACTGCTGCTGTTATTTTCTTGTTTTTCTGTAGTTGTCATGTGTAAACGCACCATACAGGAGGATGTGAAGAGTTCGGGGAGCAGGTGGCTAAGCAGATTAGCGTGGATGTGTTTGGTGTGACGCTAATGACAGCAGACGGAGAGGTGCTGACGTTACTCTTTGACAGGCAAACATGGGATTTGGCTGCTGTAAACACTGTGATTTAGTCTCGGTTTATGTGTTTTGCTGTTTGACTAACTGCTGTATAAACAGAAAGCTTTTCCCTAAAATGTGGATGTTTCAGAGATAAAGTAAAACCGGTCTGGGTCACATTTATTTATTTATTTTTTTGGTGTTGTGTTCTGATTTTAATGTCAGTTACGCACATTTCTACCCAAATTCTTATGACATGCGTTTTCATTACCAGTGCTTTTGAGGTGTTTCATTTCCTGTATTCTCGTTATTCTTAGAGTTGATTCTAAGAGTTTTCAATAGTTTTTTTTTTTTTAAATGTAGCATGAAAGATAGACATCTTTGTAGAGTTAAACAGACCAGTTTAACTTCTCTGGTTAAGCAACAAATCTGCTGTTAACACAAGCAACTACTGATGACAATCAATATCAATTATCAGTATCAATTCAAAATTCATTTTATTTCTTAATACAACCTGGTATTATTGTGAACAAGCCTTATATTAACAAAAACAATAAAATGTATGTTTCTTTTTTTTACCCCTTTATTTATTTATTTATTTATTCATGATTTACACCCTGCAATTCCCTCTTGAACCCTCTGGGGTCTCCAAAGTCATGTCGCAAATTGGACGTGACCAGCCTCTTAAGTTGTATTCACTTCTGGGAAAACTTGTAGATCATTTTGATACTTGACTTTCCAAACCATGAACTTTAAACATGCAAAAAGACTGAACTATTTATATATAGTACTTGACTGAGACCTCAGAATCGTCAGCAAGATGACTATCTAGTGCGGGTGTGCCTCACACGTCATGAAAAGTGAAGCTGCGGGCTCTTTGATCGCCCCCTGGTGGCTGGCTGCAGTAAAGGTCATAAACCCCGCCCTCTCCATGTAAATGAATGGGACTTGAGTCAAAATAAAAAAATTAATTACACTTCCAATACAATTTTCCGAAAGATGGTTTTGGTCATTTAAGGTAATTGTTATCACGCTGATATATGTTCAATTGTTCATTTTTATGATAAGTTTGATTTTAGCTAGTAATTTGATGCTATAAAAAAGGGGGCGTGTCGTTATGGTTGACTGGGTCTGTGGGAGTTTGGGCGGGAGTTTGATACCACGGCTCCACCTCACGACACTACTGCGCAGACTCTGGCTCCAAATGACATAATTTACTCAAGATGGCAGCGGACATATTGAGATGCTTTGGCTTCACTTTTCTATAGTGGAAGGATTAGGAGACGCGTCGTCCATCTTTTTTTGCAGTCTATGATCTAGTGCGGTAAATGTATAGAATAGCGTGGCGACGGTTATATGGTTGTCAACGAATGGGATGCTACATTTGATTCAAAATCCATTGGTTCTTGATTAAATATCTTCAAAACTTTTTGGGCTTAATAAGATTTTCCCAAGAAATAGGCAAGAACAAACCTGATGTCCTCCATGATTCCTATTCTTCCCAACAACAAAGCACTAAAATGTAAAAAATAAAAATCAATTCTAACTTAAAAATTGGGCAGTAGGAAATGTCCAGTAACATGTGAAGGCAGCATAACCTCTGCAGGAAAGTGACCCTTCAGGAGCAGAATTGGACACTGGTTTACAGCAAAGACTGTATGTGTGAAAGTACCAAGAGTGTCGTACAGATAACAAATAATTATCACAGTGCAGATCGTTGTGCAAACCCAAGTTGATATCTTTCTCCATCAGTTTCATGTGTAGACCAGTGGTTCCCAACCCTGGTCTTGGAGTTTCCTCAACTTTTGTTTGTCTGCCTAATCCACGGGTGTCTAATCCTGCTCCTAGAGGCCCAGTGACCTGCAGAGTTTAGCTCCAACTTTAATAAAACACATCTGAACCAGCTAATCAAGGTCTTCAGGCTCACTAGAAACTTCCAGGCAGATGTATTAGAACTGGTTGCAGCTAAACTCTGCAGGACATTGGCCCTCCAGGAGCAGGATTGAACACTACTGTCCTAATCAAACATCCCTGATTCAACTCATCAGTTTGTTAGTACAGACTCCAAGACCTGAAATGGTTGGGTCAGATGAGAGAAACATACAAAATGTGTGCTGTTTGGGGTTCTACAGGACATGGGATGGGAACCACTGATGTAGACCAACTTTTGGGGAAGGAGTGTTTCTCTCCTGTTTTATTCAGGCTTGTTTTTAGATGGTGCAGTTGTTCTTGGAACAAGTCTTCCACCAGACTTGATCTTTCAAGAGTCCACGGAGTCCCATTGGCCAAGATCAGGCCTTCGACTCTTGTGAGTCACACTAGGTCCATTTCAGGTTTCAGTCAGCTGGAGCGGCTCTCATATCTCTACCGTACTGCTTGAAGTACAAGTGCGAGTGATACTGAAGCTCGGGAAGCATCATCCGAATACAAAACCCCTGATCCTGCAGCGACAGGTTCCCTCGCACCTCGTATCCCACGATAGTGGCCGTCTCCGTCTGCCATGGGCGGAGCAAGTCCTCCAGCTCTCCCGGAGGAACCTCAGCCCTGGACACGCATTTCTGTTGTATTTTCTCTGTAGAGGCCCTGAGCTGCGCCACCTCCACTTTCAACCTCTCCAACCCGAACTGAGCCGCCTTCTCCCAGAACACCTGCACAAAGAAGTCGTACAGCAGTGTGTCCAGCATGTTCCATAATCGCACTTTCTCCTGCATGTTCTCGTCCAGCTCCGTCACACAGTTGCCAGCACGAGCGTTAAGCCGAAGGTAAGCCACATCTGCGTGCTCCAGTCCGAGAAGAGCTCCCAGGAGAACCAGGGACTCGTCGAAGTGCTCTGCGATCATCACCAAGTGAAACGCTTCCTCCAGCTGAGCCAAGTCTTCCGGCCAGGAGCCGTTCCACTTCTGGTTGTTGAGCCCCATGTCAAAGCTCATTGGGTTCTTGGCAAGACCATTCCCAGGTTCCTTTGGGTCCCAGAAGGTTTCTGGAGAGTCCAGGAACATGGAGAGTGCAGATTTGCCTTTGTTGGCGGTGGCTCGGTGCGCTCTGAAGAACGCTGGGATGATGGAGGTGTAGTACCCGAAGACCGACTCGAAGGTCTTGATCGGGTCTCGCAACAGTGTGATGAAGACCGTGTTCTGGGGCATAACCTTCCTCACCTCCCTCAGGTCCAAATGCATGTGACTGCAAAGCAAGTTGAACTGAGATGAACCCTCAGGCAGCTCGTCCACAAACGCCGCTCTGAATCGGAGACAGAGAGAGAGCGAGAGTGAAGAACTTGTTTGGATTAAAGCTCATTAGGTGTTTAATGGTCTGAAGAGGGAGCTCAAGAATACATTGTTAATGACTGACTGAATGACTTGATCCATCCACCCTACACTCTTGGAAAAGGTACAAAAACTGTCACTGTAGCAGTACCCTTTCAAAAAAGTTACACCTTTGTACTTTCATTTACCCCTAAAGGGTGCCATTTAGTAGGGTATCGCCCCATTGACAACTCTTGTACCTTTTTTCAGTGTAGTGAAATATGTTTTTATAGGCAGTGTTTTTTAAGGTCAATTTTGGGGCGCCATCCATTGGCGTTTGTTTACGATCGTATTTTGGCGACCTAGCATGGGTAGCTAAATGATGAATATCCTTAAGACTGATTAGCATGGGAGTGACTAATTTGTTTGCAATTGCGGGCCCCCCAGAGGAGATCGTTATGGGCCCTGTAAGTATTTCATTGTATTATAGTTGTGTTTTGGAGGCTTTTATGGATTTATATTTTCTTAAATTGTCATTTGGTGCCCTAGATTGATCAACATGGTCCAGTTAGCACCATTGTAAAATAGACTCATATTTTTCTCCTCCTGTTGCCTTTGACCCAGAATATTATCTAGTGAAGAGTCTGCAGCTGCCTGGGACCAAAGACGGCAGCAGAAGGTCATGCACTTCCAGAAGATCCTGCACCAAACCGCCTCTGAGATGAATGGGAACAGGTAATGCAGACCTGAGTACTCTGACTAACATGTAATTAAACTGAAACATTGTTGGAAACGTGATGTGCATTATGTATTGTGCTCATTTTACCTGTCTGGGTAGTTAAACTGGTACGTGCGGGAGGGAAAGGCAAAAGTGGCGCCCTCTCGTTCCCCGAGTCGAAACAGGATGTTCTGCACGGTGCTGCTGCCGGTCCGGTGTGTTTTCAGGAAGACCATGGGTGGATGTGCTCTCTGCCACTCGGCTCTGGCTGTCGGTGTGTGTTTGGGCGGTTGGTGTGTGTTTGGAGTGAGTGGTGATGTGTGTTTCTCAGCAGCTCTTCTCTGGTTCCTTCTGTCTGCTGTAGGTCTCAGTTCATAGGTTCTGTAGAGGAAACTTCAGGTTAGACGCCTTCTCCTCTGTCAGCTGACCAGATTTCTTTCTTTCTAGTCTTTTCTTTGAACCATATTAAATTGCATCACTGACATGAGTATTAGCAGAAACTGTTTAGATGATGACTCAGAAAGCACCAACAATAGAAAGCACAAACGTGCATTACATGCATAAGCGTGTTAAGTGCACTTGCCTACAGATATAAGGGATACAACAGATATAAGGCATGTTAGTTTTCTCAGCAGAAATTGACTTCAGTGAGTAAGTAACACACAATTAAATGTCATCATAAGCATTTAACACAAAACCAGGCCAGATTGCTGTCAAGGCATATTTGAGAGTCCAAATGACCTGTTTTGTGGTGAACTTTCCAGTGTGGTTTCCTAGTGAACACCTCAATTCAGAAAACAGCTTTTGCATCAACCAAAGGAAACCATACCACATGATGTGCACCTTGTGTTGAGAAAACCATTTAAACAACCTACAAACCTAATTTCAATGAAATAGAATTTGGTCTAGATCTACTTTGAAAAAGTTCTTAGATAGCTGTCCGTTTTAACCTTCAGTGTTTATCATTGAGAAACTATAATAGTTTTTAATACTATATGTAACCCCTCTCTCCCGGGTCCTCACCGCCACACCTCGTTCTTGTTCCGAGTGGGTCTCGAACCTGGGTCTCCGGCATAGGAGGTGGACACACTAACAAGGAGGCTAAAGTCTGCAGCCTCTTGTGCGTCTCTTGAGATCAGGGGAGTGAGGTTTACCTGCACAGCACCTACTCGCTGGCCTCCGTTACACTCACCCCCCTAATCCTCACTCCCATCCGGGTCACAGCACCAATGTAACCCCTCTCTCCCGGGTCCTCACCGCCACACCTCGTTCTTGTTCTGAGTGGGTCTCAAACCATGAGAAACGCTACCTTTGCAACTAGCTGTAAAAAAATAAGTTTTTTTTTTGTATATATATATTTTATTTTATTTCAGTTATTGATTTTTATGATTCAAGTTTTAGTTAACTATAATGCATTGAAAGTCACTTTGGATAAATGCATCTGCCAAATGTGTATAGTATTAAGAAACTATTATGGTTTTTATTAATATTTTGAATGCATTTTTATATTTTCCCTTGTTTTCTTGTTAATTTTAGTTAAAGTTTTAGCAATTTTGGTTGTTATTTGTATTACTTTTTGGTTTTATTTTTTAAATATGTCTAAGGTTCCTAGTAATTTTTGTTGTATTAAGTAGTATTATAGTATAAGTTAAACTAAATGAAAATAAGTTAAGTTTTTTTTATTTTATTTCATTTCAGTTAAAGTTTATCTTATTTCAAGTAACAAAATTATTGTTTTAGTTTTAATTAACCATCAACCTGACGCTCTATTGACGCCAGGATCATGGGTTCAAATCCTTGAAGTTGCTTTGGATAAAAGCACCTGCCAAATGCAAAAGTAAACATGTCTAGTTTAGTATTCTACTAGCTAAAGTCTCTCACCTGTTGGTCTGTAGTGAGTGTGTGGCCAGGAGCGTGAGGAGCAGTAAGAGCGCTAACACCAGCAGTAAAGCGCTCACCCGGTGCCTCCACAGCCAGCGCAGACCCATCTCCACAAACACAAGCCTCTGTGGAGCTGCTGAACTGCCAGCCGTCTGTCTGTGATGTGAGGATTGTGAGGGCAGGACGGCCTCCTCTCACCCTTTTAATCCTGTAGGCCGGATCAGAGAAACACACACACACACACACACACACACTGACGCTTCTCACAGCTTCTGTCAGTCCTCCACACACAGCGCTTTAGATTCATTATAAGTACTGTCACAGCAGTCTGTGTTATGTTTTGTTTCAAGTGCCATTTCAAACAGGTTGCCATGGGTTAGTTAACGTGATCTAGTTAAGCCCCCGCTGGTAGATGCTGTAACTACACCTTTATGAGGGCAAAAAAGGAGGTGGACACACTAACAAGGAGGCTAAAGTCTGCAGCCTCTTGTGCGTCTCTTGAGATCAGGGGAGTGAGGTTTACCTGCACAGCACCTACTCGCTGGCCTCCGTTACACTCACCCCCCTAATCCTCACTCCCATCCGGGTCACAGCACCAATGTAACCCCTCTCTCCCGGGTCCTCACCGCCACACCTCGTTCTTGTTCCTGGAGCTGCTGAACTGCCAGCCGTCTGTCTGTGATGTGAGGATTGTGAGGGCAGGACGGCCTCCTCTCACCCTTTTAATCCTGTAGGCCGGATCAGAGAAACACACACACACACACACACACACACTGACGCTTCTCACAGCTTCTGTCAGTCCTCCACACACAGCGCTTTAGATTCATTATAAGTACTGTCACAGCAGTCTGTGTTATGTTTTGTTTCAAGTGCCATTTCAAACAGGTTGCCATGGGTTAGTTAACGTGATCTAGTTAAGCCCCCGCTGGTAGATGCTGTAACTACACCTTTATGAGGGCAAAAAGCATCTGTTTCCTTTCAGAAATCCACGTTTGGGTTTTCTGCAGGTCTTAAAAAGTAAAAAAAAAAAGTCTTATTCGCCTTACAGAAATTAAGATATTCTAAAGCTCTCAAATCAGAGCAGAACGTCTTAAACTCACACCCCCGGTTTCACAGACAAGGCTTAAGCCTAGTTCTAGACTAAAATGCAAGTCTGAGCTTGTTTCAACTGAAAGAAACTTGCACTGACTGATCTTAAAATATATCAGTGCCTCTGTTTTGTCTCGAGATGCACACCAGTAATGTGTTTTCCAAGGCACGTTTATGAAAAATTACTTAAATGTCCTAATTGAACTATGGCCTAATCCTGGCTTAGTCTAAGCCCCGTCTGTGAAAGCAGGCCATAAAGTTGTGTTTACCTGCACAGCACCTACTCGCTGGCCTCCGTTACATATATAAAACTATTATAAACTATAATAATAATAGTTTTCTCAAGTTGAACTACCGTAAAACTTCAAATAATAGCCGAGTCCCAAATAGACGCCTGTCTCTTTTAAACGCCTGGTGTGACGACAGGTTTGGGTAAATAAAGGCCGGTCTCAAATAGAGGCCTGGTCTGTCAGGCCATAAAGTAACATCCTTAATTCAAGATACAGATGCAAAATGTAGACATGAAGTCTTGTTTTCTGAGAAACTGAACCAATGTTATGCTTAAAACAAGAACAAGTATGACAACTAGTTTTCCCTTTGAATTAAGTTGTTTTTTCAGACTCCATTAGTAGATATTTGTTCTTGTTTTAATCATAAACTCACTTCATGTGATCAATTTCACACGTCATTTTGTTTCTCAAGCAAATGTATCTTGATTTAAGAATCTTTAGACATTTGCACTGAAAAAAAAGAACATAATGACAAATCACGTTCCTTTAAATAGGTCTTAAATTCACCTTCTTAAAGCCTGCAGAAACCCTGCGTGAATTCTGATGACACATGTCTTCCAAATATTTGTCTTTATATTGTAGATGTTTTAGTGCCTGGCTCTTTACAGAGACTCACAGCTCAGGATAGCTGAATTAAAGTGTTTATCAAATATCACTTCAAACGAGAACAGAATCATACATTCAGTGGTTTTTCAAAGTGTGCATCTGTGCATGCTGATATTTCCCACAATCCTACACTACAGAAGAGTTTAAGATGGTTCTCAGTGAATTTTTCCAGTTTAACTGGTTTATTAGTTTGTTCACTGTGTCGTTGTTACTTGTATGCAAATGACACGCTTTTATTACATCATATAAGGAATGATGAACATTGTTCAGTGGCGTCCTCTAGTGGAGGGGAGTGATCTCAGCATCACGCTCCTCTCTTTCATGAGTAGTTTTGCACATGCTCGTGTGTTTATTTGTCAATGTAAAGCGGGAGCGACGAGTCTCATGCCGTAAATGCTACTCTGTTTTTAAATAAGATAATTGCATGTTTTTTAATGAGAAACGGCAGGTATGCATGTCAAGTGCACGTATGCAAATGAAGATTCTTCTCTTAAACTATTTATTACTCCGACGCTTAATTAGGAATTAACTCTTCAGTTGACTCTGATGACAAAATCTAGTTGTTTTTGGTTTTATTTGGGTCATTTCATTGCCCGTGAAGAACATAGGTAGTTTTTCTCCCTGAAGTATAGGCCTATTAATGGTAACACTTTACAATAAGGTTCCATTAGTTTTAATGTTATAGTTAATGTATGAACTAACATGAACAATACATTTATTACAGTATTTATTAATCTTTGTTAAAGGGGTCATATGATGCGATTTCATTTTTTCCTTTCTCTTTAGAGTGTTACAAGCTCTTGGTGCATAAAGAAGATCTTTTCAGATCGATGAGCTTTGTAAAAATCGACGCGTTTCAAAAAGGCGGGGCATAGAGGAGAAACAATAATGTACAGTATGTGGAAAATAATGTGTTTTTTAACTTTAAACCGCATAAACACATTTCATTACACCAAATACACAAAATAATGTTCTTTTTAGCAGCATCATATGACCCCTTTAATGTTAGTTAATGAAAATACAGTCGTTCGTGTTAATTCACAGTACATTAACTAATGTTAACAAATACAACTTTTGATTTTAATAATGCATTAGTAAATGTTGGAATTAACATTAACTTAGATTAATAATTTATGCATTTAGCAGACGCTATACATTTTTTACTAGTATGTGTGTTCCCTGGGTATCGAACCCACGACCTTTTGCGCTGCTAACGCAATGCTCGTAATGCTCATTCATTTTTATTTTTGTTGATTTATTTTTTTATTTTCATACAATTTAAGCTCATTTTCCTCTCAAATTTTCATGACTGCAATGCACAAAATTATTTAAATGA